AGGTCTGACACCGCTTCCGTCTACGGCGGGTAAGTTCCTTGGAATATGGAGGCTATCCTTTTCGTGTGCGTTGCAGTATTTACCGGAATCATTTTCGAGTGTGTTGCGGTATGTAAAGGAATCCTTTTCGAGTGTGTCGCAGTAATCCCATTTCAAACAATGACCGTCTCCGTCAAAGCTTGCCAACCACAAAATGTCCCTTTCAGGACAACAATTACGCCTGGGTGGTTGCTTCAGTTTTGCCTCATACTCTTCGTATGATTCGAATCCAGAGGCAGCCTTGGAATTCGCAGGAGAATATGCGCCACTGGAAAAGCTGGCTCCGGCGCTAGCGTCGCTTGCCATCGTGTGGGTCACTTCTCCAAGAATCTTGAAAGCCGAGTGGTTTTGTTCGTGGGCAGAGGATGCGTCGATTGAGTGGTACACGGAAGATGATGTGAGAAGGTCTTTCAAACTCGGAGATGCGGCTGGATGTCATTCCATATCAAGCGCCTGCGGGGTCGTCATGTGAAAAACCTGATGCAGGCATTAACAAGGCTGATGTGCAGATTTAACTCTGTTTGTACTCGTTGTGCCATATTTGAGCAAGGTTGAGCACCCCGCGCGTAACTCCGTGGTATCAATTGGCTGGCTAACTGACCTGTGCCACATGCTGGCATACTTAGACCATCAATCGGCGGCGAAACGAGAATTGAGCGTACATGCCTTCGGGCCGACCTGCAAGCTCACACCAATAGGCTGTGTAGAGTTAGAGCGAGTGTGGTACATCTGAAGCGCTGTGGGCTCGTAGGCCCATGTCGTCCTCGTACTCCGCATGTGCTGTAGGGGCTAAAGAATGCGTCGATGCCGGGAATGCTGATCGTGTTGGTAAATAACCAGGAATTTGTGACACAAGAAGCAAATGGTAGGTGTTGTGCGATTGTTGGATCTCATATCGCTACAACGTACATATTGGGTCGGTGTGGAGATACGCATCGCACTTTGTGAACGCGTCTGGTGGCAGCCTGACCGCGACAACACCAAATGACCGAGCAGACAAATTCTGGCAAGTACTGTGCAATCTCCATATAATGTATCTGTAAAGACAGTAAGCCCTTGGTGGTCTTGTGCACCTAGAGATGCGATGATGGCTCGTTTCGTGAGTTGTGCGGCGTGGTCTCCGACGTGGGCCTGCAGGTGCGCTGCGACCATAGCATTCCAGTAATTGAGGCCATATATGGCTGTCGCAACGATACAAATACATGTTTACGGTGCAATAGGACCGTAAAGGACGTGTTCGGTAGTCGCGACTGCCCTCAAGCGGCCAAGGGCGCCGGGTGATGCCAGCGCTTGCCCATGACGTCATCGGCAAACCTCAATCCGGCGTGGCTTCGTCATGTCTCTTCAACTACACCCAGCTGCCATCCTGGCGCAACGTCCGCCTACTATGCTCATCAGTGCATTTTCAAGGGAGAAGCTCATAACCCTTCGTAGCTCAAGCATGCATCAGGAACTCGCACAGCCGAAGCTACCCGATCGCGTCCGCTCCCCATTCGAAGTTTGGGTGGACACGTAAACCATGTCTTCATAGATGCTATCACGAGCGAACAGCCAACTTTGTAAAGAGCATGGATATGACTGGAAATGACTTTGGAATTCCGCCGGTACTTTGCTGCCTACCGCGAGGTAGACACCACCAATATTCGGATCGATTACATGTTTCCCATACACCTAACTTTGAAAGAAGGCCATATTTCACTTTCACGCTAAACAAGTCGCAATCATGGAATTTCAGGCTTCCATATAATCGACGGCGTCTTCAGGGAATGGCTACCGCGAGCATGACCTGTGCGCTGTATGCGTCTACCGTTGGTTCCAAGGAGTCCATGGGAGAGTAGCTTTTCACAAACAGCGTCAGCAAGCCGACGCGTCTACAGTGTCTACAGCAAACAGCAGCTCAATCATTCTGGTAAAGTAAAGAGTGTATGATAGCTACTCTAGAAACCGCGTTCATTCCGCGACTGACACAGGCTGCGCGCCATTATAGGTGCCCTTTCCAGTCGTGATTGTATGGTCACGCGACCCATAACCCTTTTCGTGCACTCTTTGAAGGTTCTGCTCAAAATTCACTACCCCAACCTACCAGAAAGCACGAGCCTTTTTCAAGTGTACACTTCACTACGATACGCTAACCCAGAACCGCGAAAGTTCCCAGTGACGCCTAGATCACGCGCTTGGAACTTTGATATATACAAACAACAGCTTCTACCGTCTCACCACTCGCGCGAGTCGTCAAAACACCCACCACTCTCTGTAACCCGACAAAGCCGCAGACATGGCTCACCTCGGACTACGCGCGAGTTGCTTTTCTCTTCCGGCCGCACCGTACTTCTTCAGTAATGCGTACACCATCTTCGAGCATCCCAGCGGCCCATTTGGCGCGCGTGGTAGTCGCACTGGCGCTCTACCCTCTGCGGAGACTTATCTTCACCAGACAGTCACCCGCTCAACCCGCGCCCCTGGACTGTCCCCTTACGCCAAGTTTCGGCGCCTAGGTTCAGTCTGGTCAGTTCCGAGCAAGACGACAGTGAGCGCTGCAACAGTCGCCTTGAAGTTGGAGCAGGAGCAGACGAAAGGTACGCCGATCTTCAAATGTAGTTCATAGGCCAAGACACTGACAGCGCCAGCACTGGAGGATATTCTCAGCGCAACAAGCTTTCTGCGTTCGACTCCCCTCGCATCCACCACCCTTGTGGCCCAGGTCGATCGAGAAGCATGGGATCACATCTTGGTGAACCTAATTCGCATACCCCACGATAGCCTCTCCGCGACCCTTCGTGCAGTAGCGTCCGAGATCGAGCTAGCACTGGAGATGGGGGCTCTACATGTCCCGGAGCTACCCACACACTCGTCTCCTGTCAAGCTTCACACAGCTGACCAGATGAGCCGCCATAACAAGTTTAACCTCTTCTTGGATGACTTCCCCGCCGGCCGTGTCGCGGAAAAGGACTACAGCCTTCTCGCGGCCAAGCTCCTCGAGAACCCCGACTTCCCTGTCGTCCCGCCATGGCACGAAGAGTTCTATCTTCTGAGGCCTTGGTTCAACGTCGCGCTCGAACTTTCGGAAGACTACCCCGACAGCGATATCTTTGCGCATGAGATACTCCTGAGGAAAGTCTTCCCTCTTGTCAACAAGCATAAAGGAGCACCACCCGTGAAGAGGCTTCGCGCTACTGTCCACAACGCGAGCCGCGACGCGCCCCCAGAGGCCGAGAAGATGATGCAAGCTGAATTAAACGCAGCTGCGCTTCTGGAACCTGGTCGCCTGCTGCAGGTCAAGATCGAAGATCTAATTCCTGACGTCGCGAAGACCGAGGAAGAACACAAGGCCTTGCGCAAGATCTCTCTGAAGGAATTGAACATTGCCCGAATCCTGGAATCTGACGACCGCAGCGTCATCCGTCTTCTACAGGACAAGATGCGCGCCATCTTGCAAAACAGCAAGCATGTTGCCGATGTGGATGATACCTGCATCTGCGACATCATCAGCGAATATAGTGATGACGAAGGGGAGCATCACTTCAATGACGCTGCCGCGCTGAAGAACATCTTTCCCCAGCGTAAGCGAGACATCGTCCTTGGTTGGGCCTCATCCATTGAGACTTCACTTATCCACCACATTACGCTCTCCAGCGCTGATCAGACGGACTGCGAGCCACTGGAGCCTATCGGAGATGCGGACGACATGACTGAAGTGGAGGGCGAGCTCCAAAAAATGAGCGAAATAACATGGGAGCTCGGAGGTTGCACTCTCATCTTCCCCCGCGGTCACGATGGTGAGATCTTGCTCGGATATGGCTTCCAGGCAGACCAAGTGGTCTCCGAAGGCCACTTCACCAACATGATCAGTGCTGCCTCGCCGTCAGAGTCAAGCTCGGATGCAAGCTCATACCAGAGCGAAGACGAGAAGGCCGCCAACCGTCGCAACTCTGACACCTCGTTGGAGAGCAATACTGCTCGGTACGACTACCAAAAGAAGCGTATCGTGATGGCTTCGGTGAAGCATTTCAATAAGCGCCGGATCACGAATCTCCACATGGCGTACGGCATTCCGCGTGGTGCGCTGGATGCAGACCAGCCAGGACCCAACACGCCCTCTCGTTTTGCGACTTGCGACGAAACACCGGGCCTACTGGACCAGTTCAACGCGGACTACGAGGCGAAACGTCGCGAGCGTGAACATTCTGGCGAGTGAAGAAGAATTCCCGATGGACATCATCTCACATCGGCCACTCCGGCAATTCTCCAGGCTTTTGGGTCTTTTGTCCTCCCGAAGACGGGGCCGCTCCTCAAGCTTAGTCATGTTATGACCGGAAGCAGGCTTGCAGACCTCGCTTCATTTCCATTACGTTGCTGTACTATTCTTGTGTTGTTCTCGTTGTAGTTTTGTTTTCTATTACGCATAGCGTGCGGCGTTTCTCTACAGCCTTGATACCCCTATGTCCCGTCTTCCGGTGTTTGATATCGACTGCTCTGGAATTCGAAAAGTTCGGAACCTCCCATAATTGAATACAACTTTCTACTTACTTTCTGTAGTCTCTTCATGACACTACCACGCGATTACACTGCTCGTCACGTGTCCTTTGTAAGCTTGCGCTCCGGTTGGTTACCCACTCTTTTCGGCAACCTTGGTTCTCAACTCTGTCCCTAGGTTAGGCTACAAGGTTTCCTCGCAATTCCAGACTTGTTTACTGTGGCATTATGAATGACTGTCCTGCATTGGCCAATGTATCGCAGGTCAACCGTAGTTGCGTTAGTGCAGCTTTCGTCTTCACATTGAGATACATATATAATAACTCTCGCATTTCACAGTGAAAGTGATACTTTGTTCACTTTCCCTCCAAGATTCTCTGACTTTCTTCACCCAAGTGCACTTACCAAACAAGACACTTTCTCAACCACGCGCATACCAACATCACGCGCCTACACTTCCGAAAGCAGAACAAGTAACAATCAGCAGCATGTTCTCTCACACCCCAACTCCTAAGAGCGATCAGGTCGCTCTCATCAGCAAGCCTGTCATACAAGAGCACAACGATGTTGTTGTGGAGCAAATTCACCCAGATAAGCCAGACTACCAAGACTGCCCAGAATTCCAGGCAGCCCGCAAGCACGAAGCCTTCTTACAACATATTCACGCCTCGTCAGCATGGATGGGTGAAATGTATTTCAGCAAGATGTCTGATCAAACACGGCAAGATTTCGACGAAAGTACCGACAAGACTAAACGATACTGGGCGCAACATCCCGACCTTTTCTTGCTCCATTTTGGTAACTCTGGATCGAGCTCTGAGGCATCCAGTGGGAATCAGTCAACGCTGCCGACGCAGGTTTCGTCTGATCCTGCTGAAGATGATGGGCACGGTGGTTACAAGACTATCATCCACGCACCAAGGCCGCGACGCAAGCAGAACATTGCTGCCGACTGCGAGGAAATGGTCAAACGAGCTGAAGGCTACGACCCAATTTCCTCTGCTGCCTACGACGCTGGCCACGATGCGCCCGACAGATCTTCGGGGCAGCCTGGCAACTACGAGACGTCCCAGACTGGGTGGCAACAACGTCTATATGCATTGTGGGGACGACATCAGAACTACACGCGACCGAGCTTCGTTCATTGGTATCCTGAGGAGTATACACAGTGGTCGCAGGGTCAACAGTTACCTCCGTATCAGCAATGTCATCCCCAGCCACCACCAGGGTACTCGCAATACCATGCTGCCCAGCCGATGTATACGCCTGAGTATCATGCTCGGTACCAGCAGCAGTATATCCCATGGCAGCCAGGATTTGGCTACTACCGACAGTTGCCAGTACAGTGGCCAGCATATGCGCCACATCAACGCCCGCGTCCTAGCAGTTATGCGGAAGAGATGACACGGATGGGCTTCGCACGATGAATGAATAAGGTTCGATTCGTAGCCTACTCCTGAACACCGACGCAGCATATTCTACAACCCCAACGCCTCACTGATACCTCCAGTAAGGTTACCCAAAATATTCGACCCACCAACAATAGCAAAGAACACATCCTTGTACGAATCCCTAGCAAGTAAGCGTTAGCCCGGAACTTCCCCATCGAACGAGACAGGGAAACGGAAAACAAGAGAAAAGAAGAGGGAGGGAAGGACAACACTTACGCCACAATCTTCAAGCCCTCGGGCAACGGCTCTGGTCCACTCGACTGCAACTCCACGACCATTAACCCCAAACTCACCAACGTCGTTGGTAGTACACTAGGCCTCCACCCCAGCTCAAATGGCAACTTCTCCTGCTCAAACATACTCCTCACATACTCCAACTTCGCCTTGCCCGTAACCGGATCGCCCATGGTACTCAGATACAGCGCATTCTCGCCATAACTCAACACCGCCTCCCTAGCCCCATACACAAACTCTGGATTCCTCTTCTGACTATCCAACGTCCTTGCATATTTCGCCTTACTCGCCGTCGGGATATCCGTACGCTCTTTGCCGTCGAAGAAGGATATGTACTGCTGCCACGTTGGGTTGTGGAAGGGCTGCGGGTTAGCGAAGTACGCGTCCTGGCGCGACATGCTGGCGTCGTGCTCGATGGGAAAGTTGTGCATGGACAGATCGTCGAGGTCGAAGGAGCCGCCTAGCGGGTTAGGAGAGGAGAGTAGGCCCGCGGCTCCTATGGCGGTGGTGAAGTCTGCGCCCATGTTTAGGCCGGCGGCGAGGCCGGCGATTAGGTGTGGGATGGTCATGTTGCGCCCGTTGCGGTGGATGAAGTCGTGGTTTGCTAGGGCGTTTAGACCGGGGCAGGGGGAGCGTACATCACCGCTGGAAGCGGGATGCCAGTTTGTCCATCGGGGGTCGCTTGCGGGTGCTGGGGCGAGCGAAGTGAGTAGGTTCGCTATGTCGGTCGGGAGGTCCAAGAGGCCTTTTGCTGATACTACGCTTGCTCCGACGAGCACTGTGGTGACTAGTGTAGAGCGCATGTCTCCGATTGATTCAAGAGGTGTATATATTTCCCTGTAATCCCAAAAAGGAAGGATGCTGAAGTGCAATCAAAGAAGCGATAGTAAACACAAAACCGTTCCCCAACAGACGCCCATCCCGTCCTTAAGCTTTCCCACATCCACTACCCGGGCAACTCCCCCATAATCCCCTCGTCCAATAACCACGCCCCCAATCCCGCTGACCCCTCACCCTCCTCTTAGAGCCCTGGATCGTGCCTCGGAGCCTGTGCATAGCGTCATGTAGCTCGCATAGTCCCGCGTAGTTCCTGCATAGCTAGTTGTAGCCCACGTAGTCACCCGTAGTCAATCACTACTACTACAGGCCAAATCGACTGACATCGACGCGGACCTGGATGTTGTGGCTGCCGACTCATGCTGATCGGCGGCTAGGCAAGATGGCAAGGCGCCAGATCGACAGAACTCCAGACCCACGACGCGTAGATCGGTGATGCGAGTAATTGGAATGTGTGGAGAGGGGAAAGTCGGCACGATGGGGATCAAGATATGGGGTCGATTGAGTTTGATTCTTGCACCGTGTTGTGGTTTTGTTATTGTTGCGGCGAGGTAAGAAAGTGGCTGGGCGATGACGTCATGGTCGCGGGAAGTTTGGGGGCCGAGGATATATTGGTTGTTCTGCATTCGCTTTACCTCGCCGTTCATCCCTGCCTCGCTGTACATCGATTTTCCGATGTTAGCAGCAATACGATGAGTGTGATGAATGCATGCTCTCAAGATCGATGTGTAGCGGCAAGGTCGTCACGAGTTTGACATGTCGATGGATGACTTTTGAGTATCTTCATTCTTTCTACATCATTGTCACTTACACTTCTCCGTAACTGCATCAGATCAGCATTCTTGCGTTCTGTGCTGTTACCCCTATAACTCTGGACCACCGTTCTGTGCGTGACACGAGCGATAGGGCTCATGATGTCTACCGTCGAGTATTCAGGGCTTCGATTTAACATCAGCTTGTGTGTACGCTCTTGCAAGTTTGTGTACCCAACGCGCCGCCGCATCCAGTGCGACTGTCCTATCCTGATTACGTTGATGCAACGCATGCAGAAACGTGCTTGAGGGAGTGAATAGTGCCACCGAGAAGATGATCGAGTAATTCGTTCCTGTGTCGGGTACACGCACCTCATACAAGGAAGAAACTGAACCGACCTGAAGAATACACTGGAATGATATGAAGCAAATTAGAAGACGTGGCGTTAACGTAGGCTTCAAAGTGATCCCAAATTAACACCACCCATCCAATCCCCCACCACCTCATCAGAAAACCTCTCAAACTCGTCCCAAGACTTGGCCTCCAACTCTTCCTCAACTCCCCCACCCCGTAATCGCCAACACCCCACTTCACATCTACAAGCCGGCGGATAATGATTCTGCGGCCTCCACGCCTCATCTTGCTCATCCTCGTCCTCGTCGTCTATACCAATAGTTTCCAAATCAATAGGATCAGGCTCATGCACAGCGAAAATACGATAATACAGTCCAGGATACTCCTCGAGGTACATAGCATGCCGCCTGAAGATATCATACCACTTCTCCCTCACCCATTGCTGGATATCGCCAGTTAGGGTAATCGTCTTAATGTGTTGGAGATACCCTCCATACCAAGCATACTCCAATATCCAGTCGATAACCAAGCCACTATCGCAGACGTGCGGGCGTAGTCTTGCTTCAGGGAAGTTCTTTGCGGGGTTTGTCTCGCACCAAGCAGCTTCTTGGACGTCGTACCAGGGGTTTGCCTGTTTGTATGCATCGCCGAAATGGAGTTCAAGTTCATTTGTGTGCAAAAGAAAATGGCCGGCGCCGTGGCAGAATTCGTCGCGGTATAAGTTGTCGCCGGCGACTGCACCGTCGCGGTAATGGAAGGGTGGTACTGCAACGTCGAACATGGCGAAGTATTGTTCAGCCGTGAAGTCGAGTTTGATCTTCTCTAGTCCGTGGAGCGATGACAGATGCTTCATGCGAGCGTATTGCGCAACGTGATCGCTGATCACCGGAAACTTCGTCGACAAGGAGAGTTTCGGGTCCTGGCAAATGGCATCCCATGGCTGGTTGGGTAGATAGTACCAGCCTATGCGGTCCTTCATCTTCAGACTCATCAGGAGATGGGTCATGTAGAATGTTGTTGGGTCGGAGAACTCTTTGGCGTCGGTCAGCCAGGAGCGGATGCGAGACCGAAAGTATTCTTGGAAAATGAATGATGGGACATCGCTGGTCCTGGAGATGGTGGCGAAAGGATCGATGTTTTCGGGGTTGGAGTAGGATAGTGTGTAATGGGGATGGGCGGAGCCATCGACTACGATGCGTTGTTGGCCGAGCCAATGCTCTAGTACGATGAGGAGTAATTCTGGGGGTAGATGTTGTGCAGCGACCTGAAATGTCATGTCATCCTCGTTGCTTGGAAGATGTGCCATGATCCCCTATACTAACTGGAAGAATAGGCATCAAGACAGGGTTAGAGAGCCTATATATGTTACAAAGCGCATGCTTAAGCGCATCGTTGGTATGATTTTCGTCACTGCGCGTGGTTTACAGTCCGGTTCGTGAATCGGTACCACAGTTCGTACTCGACACCTGACATCGTGCGAAACGCGGAGACACTAACGTGAATTCTGGTACTGCTGCGTTGTAGATAAGTAAGCGACAGTGTTGTTAGCATGAGTGTGAATATGTGCTAGATATTGATGTTGACGGAGACTGGCGGAGGAATCGGCTTTGCCAGGCTCGCATCGACTCGACATTCGACCCACGGTCGGAGAGCGTGGCATGACAGATCCTGCGCCACAGAGAATTATATTGACATTGTACAATATGAAATGGTTGATCGGACAGAGAGCAGTATTTTGGTGGCATTGAATATCGCATATGCTTGCTGATGTTTGCCAGATATTGAAACAGGTGGTTGTACAGTCGCTATTGAACGTGGTCATGATCGTCGTTTGGTTGGCGCTGGACTCCAGCCCTGGGGTTGCCACTCCTGACTCTGAGCCGCCTGCTTCCATGGCGAGTCCTTGGGCTCCTTCTTCATCCTCTTCCTAGGCGTGAAGGCAGGCGCGTCGTCTTCGGCAGGTGGTGCTGGCGGGTCGCGTGACATCTGCTGAGGCTCTGCGGATTGTTCGGGCTCTACTGGCGCTGGTCTCGCGAGTTCCTGATCGAGTGGCCGCGGTGGTTCTACTTCGTCCCTTATCTCTTGGTCGGCATTCATTTGCGTGACGCCGCTGTCTGGGTCTCGCGACTGCAACATTTGCACGGGCTGTTGCTTATCCGGCGCATCGAGCGCTGACGGCTTCTCGGCCCATCGTGCATCTGCCTGCGCTGCCAGCTGCTTCATCCGCTCCTGCCTCATCATGTCCTGGTGTTGTTCGGCGACGGTGGGGGGTTCGTAGCGCGTGTGTCTCAGCCATTGCATCCATGACGCTGCCACAGTCAGCCTCGGTCAAACACTGAATATGGAAGGCACGAACGCGATATTTGCACGTCGCCATAGTGAGTGCTGCGACTGTATTTTGCTATCCGTCGGTTGCGCAGGGCGTGCAGTGCGTCTTTGAATTCCCAAAAGGTGTTGCCCTGGAGATCAAAGCCTACGAAGTGTTATTACTTGGAAGCAAGGATACGCCAGAGACCTATGTTGAGGCCTGCACTCACCCACAAGCCACTTCTTTCGCCAGGGGAAGCGCTTCATCTTCCATTGGTACCATGCTTTGCGAATTGCACCCGGTGCGCCCGCCATGCTGAGTCTCGTTGGGCCGCGAACAAATTCCAGCGGGCGAATATCTGGAGGCGACTTTGACGCGCAGCCGGTGACGTTGGGGCGAGTGGCTGGTGCGTTCACGTTAGCACATGTGCAAGCATTCCCCCCACCACCAAGTTTCTCCACACAACAACACATGCCATCATTGCATACCC